TCTGTCCCTTCCTCTCCCTAAAATCAATAAACATAAACTCCGGAGAGGATTAAATAATAATAAATAAAGTACTATAACCAAGGCCAACTCTTATCTCTCCTCTCCACACCTCTGTAACTGACTGCAGGTCCCTCAGCTGTAAAATGGGCCTCACAGTGTCCACTGCACAGTCACAATGTCAATAAAGGTCTGGTGAGCATCTGGCCCGAATGGCGGCCGCCGCTCTTCCAGTGTCAGCCTGTTCTGGGCCACAGCAATAAATGCCATTCAAATAAACACACACAAAATGAGCCTGGTCTCCCAACTCATTGCACGACATCTAAAGTTTAGGACTTTGTTATGGGGTCACCTAAACACTCCCTCCCCCTCCCTCACTACAGCAGGCTGGAGAGCACCTGTGCGCTCACCCTGTGCAGCAACGGGTGAGTCACCCCGATCCCATAGCTAAAGGAACTAGTAAGGCGGGGAGCTGAGAGCTCCACAATGTTTATTAAAGCGGATTTTTAAGTTTCAGTGGTCACTGGTCAATAGCCTCCAGTGATGTATTAATAGGTGCTTTGGTTGCAGGGCTCTAGGTCTTGCTGGTAACTGGGAGAGTCACAGTGGCCCTGCTCTCCTTCTCGACGCCTCATTTTGCTCGGCGGGGGGGGGGGGGGCGGGGCGGGGGGCTGGCGGTGCTCTCTGCTCCCCCTGGCTGTGCCGGTGGGCACTTTCCTACCCGGGAAATTCCTCCTCTCGTTGCCCGCCCTGCAGGCGCTAGGTTCGGCCTCCAGTCTGGCACATCAGTGCCCTCTGGCGGCCACACGCTGCAGCAACTTCTCCGTCTGCAAGGTCGTGCTTGCTGGTAGCAGCTCTGGGAAATTCTGGCTTGCTCTGATTTCTTACGCCGCGGATGCTGACGTGCTCCAGCAAAGCCTTGGTAGGGAAGGTCTGCCTCTTTATCATTTACTCTGTCACTAGCCATCTGAGTGTGACCTCAGCAGCTCCTGCTATCTCTCCGGGTCTCTGTTTCTCACTTGTAAACTGGGAGGATTAAAATAGATCATCTCCAGCTTTAACTTTCAAGGTTCAAGGGACATTCATTCAAGTACTACATGTCAAGTGTAGAGAGGTTCAGGCTCATCAGCGAGCGAGCAAACCTGTGCATTCCTGGACTTTAAATTGCAGCGGAAGACAGTTAATAAGCAATTAGCATAACAAAGAAATGAAGTGTGTGCGTGTGTGTGTGTGTGTGTAATCTATTAGGAAATGACCTATTACATGGGGGAAGTAGTGCAGGTATGGGAATGGGGCGCGGTGGCCAAGGGAAGGCTAGGGAGGGTGCAATTTTAGGTGACAGAGTCACGCGAGGGCTCTGAGCCGTCACCTTTGAGCAGAGACCTGTGGGAGGGGGACAGAACGGGAGTTAGTCCTGCAGATTTTCCAGGTAAGAGCATCCAGGTAGAGGAAAACCCACACAAACGCCTGACGTGAGAGCCTGACTCTACGTGTGAGGACCCGTAAGAAAGCCGTGGTTCCCACAGCCCTTTGTAAACATCTCTTGGGTGGCCCCGACCGCACTCATGACCCACGTGTTGAGGCTACATGGGATGGCGGTCAATTCTGGCCAGATTACTCTTAACCATGGTGGCTCCCGCAGCCACGTCCTGGCGTCCTCCTCCCATATCGGGCTCAAACGTGGTTTGATAGGACTTCTCACGAGTTTTTATTAAAGTGCACCAGAGGCGACAGCTACATTCCCTTTCCAGTGTTCTCGGTCAGGGTTGGAGGGGGGCCCTGTGAACGGGAACGCTTCCGAGTAATGCTGTCCCCAGTCCCCGGAGGAGGGGCCCAGGCCTGCCCCTGAGTGAGCCTCCCTCCTCTCTCCCAGGAAGCACTGTGTTTGCTCTGAGGGGGTCTTCATAGAGAAGAGGAAAGGAAGCCATTATTCCAAGGTTTCCAAGTGAGAGTGTAGTTACAGAGTGACTTCCACCCTTTGCTGTTTTCCCTCATCAAATGATGTTCTTTGTAACTTCTAAGTGAGTGCAACTTTAAGTTTCTATATATGAGGTGAGGTTAGAATAAACACCAAGACTCCAGTCAAAGCTTCTTAGAAATCATAACAAAAAAGTAATTTCTTTGCGTTGAGCTATTGAGTCTTAGGAGTCTCTTGAGATAAGTCAGATCTGATGTGTATGGTTAGTTCTTGAAATTGATGTAGCACGTCAGATGAACATGCTAGATGGCATGTAGATGAAATATTTCCGTCTACAAAATGGACTGAAGGACTGGGGATTAAGACAACGATTCATAAATAGAAGCTTTAATGGTAAAGCTTCCTTTCATAAAATCCACCAGTGGATTTAAATTATTCTATCAAAATTTTAAATACACATAATTTTAACACAGCAATTCCACATGCTAAGTATAAGGATATTCCTAACAGCTTTTTAAAATTTTTATCCTCACCCATGGACATTTTTCCATTGCTTTTAGAGAGAGAGAGGGAGAGGAACATCGATGTGAGGGAGGAACATCAATTGGTTGGCTCCCGTATGTGCCCAGACAAGGGATTATACGGTCATGGACCAGGGATCAAATTTGCAATCCAGGCCTATGCCCTGACTGGGAATCGAACTCACAATCTTTCAGCTATGAAAAGATGCTCCAACCAACTGAGCCACACCAGCCTGGGCCATAAGAGCTCTTTTATATAACAGCAGAAGTTTGTCCTTTCACACAGTACTGGTTAAACAAATTATCTGCATAACCGAATACTACACGGCAATTAAAAGAATTGGGGGTGGGGGCGGGGAGGATTGACATGCCAAGACCTCCAAGAGGTACTGAATTTAAAAGCAGCGTGAAGAAGTGTGAAGAATATGCCGCCATTCCTGTATAGAAAAATATATATACAGTTTAATGTGCAAATATAGAGCATTTCTGAAAAGATAAGCACACACTGGTTGTGGTACCTGCCCGTGGTGATCAATGGGCGGCTAGGCAAAAGGGGGGTGATTTTCTGTGGTTTTGTCTCAAGTCTCAAGAGCATGAATGGCCTACTCAAAATTTTCTATTACAAACACACATTCTCTCAACACAAAACATATTTTTATGCCAAATGTGGTACACCAATGTTGAAAAGGACTTTTGTGTCAAGTTGATTAATTCCTAGAATATCCGAACCTACATTTGTTTTTCTGTCAATAGAAAATTTGGGTTTCGTTAACTGTAATATTGGGAGAGTCAACCACCGATGTGGCCTCAGAACTCTTCGTCTGGAAATGACAGGCTTATACTATCAATGACTTCCACCAGTCTCTTTCTGGTTTAAGATGTGATTATATCACTCAATTTTGCAATATTTGAAAACAACTACAACACATTGGTAAAGAGAAACGGTGCTGTGGCAGAAGCACTTATATACAGCTATTGCTATTTTTCTAATATTTTATTCTTAAACCACACTCTCCCATTCATATTTGAAATATCCCAGGATCAACAAAAGAGGCATATTCAACTGAAGAAATTTATTTACTTTTTTTCCCTAGGTACATAGAGGACAATTATAGACAAGTTTTGATACATAGGAAAACCCTTCCGTCCTTTCTCTTTGCTAAATGAATCGTCACAATAATTTTTACAATTTTTAAAACAATACACAGCTTTCTTGGGCTGAAGCAATCGCAAGAACATATTGGTACTGGTATATTACAGCTACTTACAATGTTTAAAAACAGCAATGGAGAAAAATAAGTTATTTAAATACTGATTTCATATACAGAAAGTGCAATGTTGTTAGTTGTTATATAACTTGCTTGACTGTTTTCTCTATCAATTTAAAAATCAAGATAACTTGGACTCAGACTACTAGATTTATTTTTCTGAAAATAATACAGTACACACATGCAGCATTGACTTGGTGAATGGACTTCTTTTGCTGCAGTTATGAAAGCAAACTTTGCTATGTCAGGAACTGATTACCAATACACCAGTAATTCCAATGCCGCCCACTCCCAGGTTCAGGACAGAGAAAAGGGCCTCTGACTAGGGCAGGCCATGAAAATCTATCTCCTACGTGGTTACTTAGGAATGTACACAGTGGTTGGGGCTGGCTGCATCTCCTTCCAGACAGCTTCAAAGTAAAAATTTACACAATGCACATGGAGCTACCTGAGCCTACCTGCCTGACCAGGTTTCTGTTGTGCTTTCCAAAGACAATTTTCTCCGTTCCTCAACATTCTGTACCGAGTGCAACTCATTCAACCTGGATATTGCTGGCACCTAACCTGTCTTTTACATCCACGGGCGGCCCCAAACCACCTCAGTCAAAAGTCACACGCAAACACTGAGGCTTTTCTATGATCAAATGAAAAGTTTAAAGTAAAAGCAGGCCAAACAAATGCTAACGATAAAAAAAAGGGGGGCGGGTTTTAAAAAAGCACAATAAAGTAAAAACCACCTCAGACCTTTCAGATTAGGAAGACCTTCCCAACGACGATTATTCGTGGTCCCTGAATTGGATTTTTCTCTGCAAAGGCAATGATCTCCGAAGAAGAGTGACAAAAATGTGGTTTGGCATTCTCAGAAGCGCAAGCTCAGAGAATTCCCTTTTCCAATGCCATTTTTACCTCGATGAAAACGTGAGAGTGAAAATGAAGTGAAAGTTGGGAAGTGACACAAGATTTCTCCTTCCTCTTTGTTACCTACCACACGTGTGGTACTTGCTCAGCTTAAACTATGAGATGCGTCTCTCAGTTGTCGCACTGAGATTACTGCAAAAACAGCTGAGAGGGCCTGTTTAGAGCCCTCTTCCTCCCAGTCACAGGAGACCCCTGCAGCCTTTCCAGGTGGGCTCTGCTGACAGGGATGTCAAAACCCGGGGCGACGCATGGGCTGTGTGAAGAGCGCCACAGAAATTCGGCAGCTGTACCTCTTTATTTGAGATTTCCACAACTTCTTCACATGGCATCTTACAGAGGGTATTATTGAAGAAATATATATTAATTTTTTTAAAAAAATGCATGCCGAAGCATGAAAAAAATATATCACCTGAGAACATCCTTTTCCTCAGAAACATGGATCTAAGTCTATAAAGCAAATGCTAAAGATGGCTTTGTAATTAATGAAATCATTTTTTTTTTTTCCCTGAGGGAAATCATTTGTTTCAGTGAGTAGATAAAACATTAAAGAACTTCTGATCAAAGCTTTGTGTTCAAAAGGGTTTCTATTGTAAATGATCACATTCAATGCTTGGAATAGTGCTCATGATAAGGACGTAAAGCAAAATCATTCTGTAAGCAATGGAAATCTTATTAGTTTAGTTGTCTAAATTTCAGTTTGCCAGAAAATCAGACACAAGACTAGAAGAGGATAGAATACGCTGAAATCAGTTGGAAACAACGGGAAAAATGCAAATACTTAGTACATGGCTAATGTGGCTGGTCTGGCTCCGAAATGAACCTTTACTTGAATTAAAAGAATTATCTAACTAAGGAAAGAAGAAAAATAATATCTTAATGGTCAAACTGGAAAAAAAAAATCCTTAAAAACATCTCTTAAAGGAATTCCCTTTCTGAGAACCCCTTTCTGAAAACTTTAGCCTTACGCTGACTCTTTGCACAGGCGACCTGTTCGCTAGCTGATGGCCAAACGTGGAAATGGAGAGATCAGGAGATCAAGTCAACGCTGCAGCACAAGGACCCATGTGGCAAAGACAATAAACCGGTTCAAAGGAAAGGCGGTTACTATAAACACCCACACCCCCCCTCCACACACATACACACACACTCACATGTACACACATGATGTCTCTGGGAATTTCAGACCGTTTTCCACTGGATTTGTAGTTGGTTTAAAAACTGAACGCCAACAGGAAATTTGTGCCCAATAAACACTCCTACAAAATAAGCCATGTTAGAATGAGATAATCAAAAGAGCCCATTGTTTGGCGGGAAACATCCTAGACACGTTAGACGGCAGTCGAAGCTGAAGATATGGAGCTATGGTTACAGGGTAGTGAACACTAGTTCAATAACTGCTTAAAAGCTCATATTAAGGCAAATAAAAGCTGATTGCTAGAAAGCAATTATTAAAATGTCTCTTGTTTACCTAAAGGAGAATAGGACTTTTTTTTTTAAATTTTTTCTAGTGCAGACAGATTTTCTTCTGAACCAACGAGCATGTCAACGTTTCCAATCACTCCCGAGTCTGCTGCTTTGGCCTAGCTAAGCCTGCCTGGTCCTCGGGTGACAGGCAGGAGGGCAAGGGCACTGTCGGAATCGAAACTGGCTGCCCACCCCCCTGCTGCCCCCAGCCCTCTTCCCAGCGCACCAAGACAGACCGGAGGCACGGCGTTTGTGGCAAGTTGGCATCTTGGTTCTATTACGTTCTGGAAATAAAAATAAGTGCTTGTCTTTTCTTTGGGGGTGGAAGAGAACCACACCAATTTCCTCAAAGGGGCTTTTCTGGGTAAGAGAGGGTCACCGGTCCTGTGCCAAGGATTTGCGCTCTGCCTGGCCACACGCTGGGCCGCGCTCCTATATCTGGTCTGCACGTGCAGGGAAGGAGGAATTGCATCGGCGTCGTAAGCACAGTGAAAGGGCGGCTCTCATCCAGGGCGGTCCATTGCGGGCCGGCTACATGGCCTCGGGGCCTGGCGGCAGTTTGAACAGTCTGGCTGCAGACACCAGCTTGCTTATGTGTCTCTCCTCTGTGATGCCGGCCTCCTGAAGGCAAGTGTGGGACAGAGAAGGCACCTGGCCCAGTGTGCTAAACCCCGCCTCCGTGAGGGCGCTGGCATACATGGGCAGACCGATGGAGATCAGCCAATCCGACACGGACGAAACGCAGCCGGGAGAGAGGGGCTTCCTGCAGATCTCCGTGAGCCCGCCACTTGGGATCTGGGCAAAGAGAGAAAGCAATGTGAGGAAGATTGACACATGCCATTGGAGGGCTGCTTCTTAGATGCCTGAAAAGGACATTACTAACATATTACACTGCTATCCTATCAGGAAGTGATGATGTTATATGTCAACAACACAGAGTTGCAGAAAGACTTCTTTCTTGACTTTTCAACTGTGAGACAAATTTTCCAAGGAAGTGTTTGAGGCTCTAGAAGGTACCTGGAATTAGATCTAACCCCAGTTATGTGTCCAACTCTCCAAACTGTGAGTGTGTCTATTTCTGGCTACTTTGTCTCATTCTGGCTCCTCAAGGAGGAATCCCTAAGGAGACCTCCTGAAGAGCAATCCCGGGAACAGTAAAACAACAACGCTCAGTGGCTGGGTGCTTATGAAGCATATTTTTCCACTGTGTTTTCAATCTACAGGAACAACTAGAAGATTAAACATTTTAACAATATACTTACAAAGAATCTAAAATACAAAGTGACAAGTATTGGCCAGGGCCGGGAAATAAACATCTACCCTTGACTTCTGGGAAGACCCAGCGCTATACCTTTCAAAAGGTAACTGACTACCGAACACGCAGACCCCTGAGATTTTCTGTGGCCTTGATGAAGCACGCCCTCGTACAGTAAGGTATCCTCAGAAACGAACCTTAGATGCCTGCAAAGACTTAAGAATGTTTTCACATTGGAAAAACCCTAAATGGTTCACCAATATGCACTGGCACATTCACCTACTAGATCACTTCGAAATATTGATACTGTAACAGAATTTTAGTAAGAGAACTACATTCATGCTCTGACGACTGAAAACAATCAGTTTTCAAAACTATGCATTTACTATTATATATGTGCAGCGAAATGACTCGATGGACTTAAGTTTTTCATAGTACTGGGGATGTGGATAATTTTTCCTCCCCCCCGGACCCCCAAAAACGGGATTTTAAAACTGTGGGCTGAATACCTAGTGCTTCCCCACCAGGCGTCTCCCTTGATGGTTATGATGAGCCCTGGGCTAAGCAGTGGTTGCCAGGGTGGTCGTCATTAAGCTCTATGACCAAATGGACTGAAAAAGCAGCTGTTGGGCGGGGGGGGGGGGGGGGGGAGGAGGGGAAGGGGAACCCCGGAGTGTGGCTGCTCACCGCCATGCGGTGCTGCTTGCGAAGGAGCTTCACCCGGATCTGGTCCATGGTGGCAGCGACGTCCCTCTCAGGCTGCCCCAGGTCTTCTGCGTACCTCTGCACCAGGGCTTCGGGAATCCCGCAGCGGCCATGCTGCATGGGGGACAGAAAGGTGATACCAGGTGTTGTAGCAGGATCTCTCTCCAAGAGCAGCAAATGAAAGGGCGGATACGGCATTTAGGTACTAGGAAACAGCGCCTGAGGTTCTCATTGGAAGTGAATATATTTTCTCTATAGTCAGGATGTTTTAGAGAGAATACTTCTACATCTTTATGTTTCAGGTAGTAATGAGCTCTAGGGAAATGTTCTGAAACTCAATCATTCTACTTTTTGGGGGCCAATGCCCTCCTCTCACACTACCTGATCATTGGGCAGCAATGCTTTTTTGGGAAACCATTCCTGAACTGCAGGGGAGAAGGGCAAATGTCCTGCTCCGCAGATGCCTCCTGCGGGGCGTCATCTATTAGGACCAACACTGCTCACGTCGGTTGGTCGGCCGGCCAGCATTTACGGCGGAGTGTTCTCCCTACTTCCCATTCAAAGGGGTTTATTCTCTAGACATTCAGGAGGAGGAAGGCGTTCCAGTCAGGCATTCGTGGTCGTAACAATTTTATAACAAAGACTCCCAGGATTGCATTATTTCACAGTTTGCATTTCCAGGAGCAATGTACGGCTCTATCTGTTCTCATTTGTCTTCCCAGTCATTGTGGTATTATTCATAGACCTACTCTTTGTTTCAAACGAGAAATGAGTTTTCATTAGAGCTCAGTGTTTTTGGTAAAATGGTATTTCCACATACAAGATAATTATACATTTATTACATCGGAACAGCATTCTACAATTTTCAGAGTAGGTTCACATTTCACTTGCTCCTAATACTAGCTCCAAGAGGTAGTTATGTAGGTTATTATTCATTCCACGGTACATATAAGAAAATGAAGTGTGGATCTGTTCATGCCTAAAAACATGCATGTTGAACTAAGAGAGGAAACCTGGACCTCAGGTCTGTCCTGTCCTCTAAACCAAACCTTCCAGGAGCCAGGCCTAGGACTGACTGAGATTTCTCCCTGTAACATAGAGCCACCAAAAATTAAATATCAACAGGCAAAAGAAAAAAAAAAAAAGAGAGAGAGAGAGAAAGAAAAGAAAAATGCAAAGCTATATCTGCATTCAACTTGGATACTGCGCTCCCACTGGTGCCGCCACCAAGGGGCTGAGGCGCCTGCTGCAGGCCGTCCTGTGCTCCCCCTGCTATGGTGGCCCCCGCCTCCAGGCTGCCCTCTCGGGTCCGCCGGTGTCCTCTCGCCTGGCTGCCTGGCCTACTAAAGCAGAGGGCTGTGAGGCAGGGCCAGGGCCCTTGATACCTTATCAGAATACGGCTCCTCGGTGAGATCGATGCCTTCAGCCCGTAACTTGTCTTCGGTGAGCATCTCCAGATCCACCCCCCGGGCGCAGGAGATCTTCCTGGTCAGGGCCGGGCCCAGCTTCACGCCATGTTCCTGGAGGCTCGCGCTCTCCGGCAGCTCCGAGAGCCAGGGTGGTGGCCTCGAGCTGGGCGGGCTGCCAGGCTCCTGCCTGGAGGGGGGCCTGGGAGCCTGAGGCGAGGGACAGTCGCTGGGGCCGCTGGGGCCGCTGGAGCCGCCCTTTTTCAGGGGCAGGCTCGGTGCGCTGGGGCCAGGAGGGCCGGGGTGCAGGCCGTTGGCCATGGCCAGGCGCTCTTTGCTCTTCTTGGCAGGAACAGGAGGAGGCTGAGTGGGATGTCGGGCCGGCGTCTTGGCCTCAGGGCCTCTCTGCTCACCTTCTTTGGTGCCCGGGGGGTGACAGGTTCCTTCAAAATCGAGTCCTTTTCTGTGACCCTCAAGAGGAGTCCTTGTTAAACTGTGTCTAACTCCAGGCGGTTGAGCGTCATAGTTTTTGGGTAAACATGGGGGAGGCGACAGGCCACGCGGAGAGGCTGCACTCGAGCCACCCAGTTTCTTAGTAGTCGTTTTCTGAGGTTCAGGAAATCTATTGCTTTGGGTCAGTAGCAATGCATTGTCAACGGCAGAATCTCGTTTGGGGCTGGGGACCTTTGTGATGGAGGGGGCTGTCTTTTGTGGCACTTCTGGTACAATCTGAGGGGAGGGTTCTGTCGCTGCACTAGGCACATCTTTTTTAGCATCAGGCTCTCCCTGAAGGTCGTCCAGGGAATGGGATCGGGGCCAAGTTTTCACCGGCTGGGGGCCCTCCAGGGTCTCACAGCTCCGACAGATGGAAACGGGGAGGCTTCTCCGGTTTTTCATCAAGCCAGTCACACACGGCTGCTCACAGCGCTTGAGGGTGTGAGAGGTCAGGCCACGGCCCAGCCTGCTCTCTTCCCCCTGCTGCAGGGTGTCCGCCGACTTTGGCAGCGGCAAGGTGGGGTAGTTGCCCAGCTGGCTCCTGTTGAAAGACTTCAAGCTGGACTCAGTGGATGACTTGGCAGAGAGAAGGCCGGTTTTCCGGGTCTTGCCTGAGAGACAAGGAAATAGGTTACAATCACATCTTAAGAGGCGAGTCACTCAAACTGATGTGGAGAAAGGTGTGCTAACAAAATCGACATCACCAACTCTTATGTCCCATTGTTGAAATACATACACAAAAAGGACTGAAAATCACCATTTATGATGTTGAGTGATAATAGGGTTATTATAGTCTTGTTTTTATTTTTAGAAAAAATTCTTAGTCTTCATAAAAGGACTCATGGAGGCTGAATTAATCGAGTTATGTGGTAAGGAAATATGCTGTGTCAGGCAATAAAATAAATCCAGGCCTCCTGTCTGCTCCGACCCTCCATCAGCATGGAAGAAGGTTGATCACCTGAACCGTACTCGGGAACCACATGGGCGGGATTTCTGTCTAGGGAGTACAATTCCCTCAGGTTGTGGTGCCGGGGGGTGGCGGACTGAGTTCTGGGACAGGTTGTATAAATGGTGCCCCCAAGGTTCACTCCTTACTTCTCCAGTTACCTTCAAGCCCTCCCCTCTTAGTGTTCTGTGTATAAAAACAAATGAATCCTAGAAGCAGTCAAACAACCCTGGTACAAGTAAGCAAGCAAGCTTATGTGAGTATTTTGCCTGAGGCAGTCTACAAAATATTGACACAGTTCTTATTTCCTGTGAAAACATCAGCCCTGATTAAAATAGACTGTCAGACGATTAAGCGAACCATCAACCAGGCATAATCAATTTATGTAACAACTGTTGATTGATATTAACTTCTATCACTGCTTGCTAAGCTTCACTAAGAATTTACTAGCTATGGATAGGTCAGGCACTGTGCTAAATGCTTAGTTTTCACCAATATCTATCTCCCTCTCCCTCCAAAAGCACCCTAATGTTCTCTATTCTATTTTGTCTCACAAAACTGCTGCTTATGATGCTCTAAAATGATTTTGCAACCCACTAATGAATTGCAAGCAGCAGTTTAAAAAGCTTTGCTAAGTGCTCAATAAATATTTTAACCAAAGGGATTCCAACAGCAGCTAAAAACGGTCAGCCCTGAGCATTTTTCACGAAGGCCTTCCAGTGTTCAACCGTAATCTAGGGGAACCCTTCACTGCGTTTCGAATCTTCCTGCAAATGGGAGCTTGCGGGGAACAACAGCGAACCTCAGAGCCCCCCGTGGCAGAACTGAGTTCACCCGAGCCCATTCCCCTGCAGACATCTCTGCTGCTGGAAACAAGTGAGCTCCCTGAAATTTCCCAGCGACCGCTTCCCAACTGTTAGGCTAGCAGAGCAACAAGACGTGCGGCCCTCAAATCGCCCTCTTCCCCATGATCGCTGTGTCCCCAGCTGCAGCTGAGACACTGACGATGCCACTGCTTCGTGACCCTGACGGATGGGCTGCCCAGTAAATTGTTTTCCTTACGGACCTGATAGCTCCCGACACTCAAGTGCTGGTTTTTATTGCGTAAAGGAAAGGACATAGGAGACACACAACTTGGGATTTGCAGCTGCGCGTATTTTAGACAGAATTTATTCACCACACGCAGCAGTCAGGAGGAACAGACATTAGAGGCAAACTACAAACTAGAATGGTAGGGAGGTCAGAAAGGAAAAGATTAGCCCTGAGTTCATCGTGGTAACAGAATCATTCTTTCTCAGAAAACGGGACTGGTGAAGTCAGTGACTTTTAAATGAAGCTTCATTTATATTGTAAAATCAATCAAAACTGCAGGGTGGCTCAACGCAAAAGCCCAGGCACGACCCCACCCCCTCTGTGGACAATGCCCCTCCCCCATCACCCCCCTACCCCCCCCCCCCCCCACGATGGTCCCTGAGGAATGCAGAGCCTGACCACAGATCAGCTGAAAACCAGAAGTTACGAACTGCATAAGAGGCCCTGACTCCTTTAAACACACCTTGCATCGATTTCTCCCTTCTAGGAAAATACTTCCCTAGTGAGAACTAGAACAGAACTGTGCAGCCTAGTTTAATATTCGAATAACCAAAGGGCGGGGCCGGAGTGGGGAAGGTACCATGTCCTTAACTATTAAGTGGACAAAGACAAAAAGATGAAAAGAAAAAAAAGTCAAGTCTATTTTGAAAACATCTTGCTTTTAAAGTGCTTTCATTCTGTCTGAATTATGGACTGCTGGCAATTTCAGACCTTTGTTGTATATTTCACATTGCTTTCCAAAATGAAATTTATGGTTGATCCTGTTGCCTCCAAATGTCTTTCCTGTGCATATAACTACAGCTGGTATATTATATGAGCCACTGATTCCAAGAGGCCATCATTTGCAGTGGGTATGGGACTCCACGCTCCAACTAAGATCAAAAACACATATTCTCTAAGAACCCCTAGTAACTAGACCATAGGTAGGGCTGGCCCAGCAATGTGAGCGTGGGGATCATAACTCTGAGCCCACAGCCATGCTTTCTGAAGGAGAAGGAAGGAAGGAAGTGCCCTATTAGGTGTGAGTTGTTGTGTTCTGTGTAGCTGGTCAGAAATCCTGAGATTAAAAATTAAAAACAAAAGCAAAATGTAATATTTTATGATATAATCATGTACCCTTTATTTTCAGAGATCTACCTTCCACCACAAAATGAACCAATGAATGTTTGGATAAAATCAAGTCTTTTCACTTTATTTTAATATCGATTAGATATGTTCACACTGTAACCTCTGACAGACCACAGCCAGACTCTATCTTTTCGTGGAAGGAGTCACCCTGTAACTGTGATGGCCGAGCCAAAGAGCTTGCCCGCCTCACCAGCCAGGTCCAAACACGGAGGGCCGTCCCTGCTGAGGCTACTGCGTATGAAAGCGGAAAAACCGAGGTAGGGATGGTGACGGTACTCAAGGAACCAAGCTTTCACGCCCTGGCTTGGCGCCATGTTCTCAGAGAGGCTCCTCAAAATCCTCGTATTGCAAACAAACATGCAAAGAGGTCCTCCCTGGCATGTGCTGCCTTTTTTCTTCTTCAAAAATAGGTCCACTTACTTTAATCAATCCATGGTTTTTGAAGGTACTTATTATAATAACAAATTAAAACTACATCCCTTCTGGCTTCAAGTTCAATGAAGCCCAGACACCACTGGTTGATGTCTGACGACACTAAGTAGAGTATGGGCTTGAAAATGCATGTGGTATTGGACAATAAGGTCTAAAATAATGACTGAGAGCCTATTAGGAGCCAGAGTGTTGGCAGCTGAGGAACATGGTCTAAAGGAAAGGAACAATGGCTTCAGTTACTACGTAGTCTCTCTGAACTTTGAAGTCTTCATCTATAAACTGCCTTGCAGGGTTTGAGTGATAATTAGCAATACCTACATAAGCTCCCAGCCCACTGCCCAATTCACAGTCATTGTTCAATAACTGCTGAATATTATTAACATCTTACTGCTCTAAGTCTTACAACAACCTATGAAAGAGAAACTCATCTATTTCAGAGCTAAGGGGGCTCAGAAACATGAAATAATCTGACCGATGTCTTCAGCTTGTAGATGTTCTACTCAGGGTCCAAACCCCAGGTCTCCTTTCTTTCAAACCCCAAGGCTCTTTTCACGACCTACACTGGGTGCTGAGACTCTAAGAGTATCTGGACAATGGCAAGCTGAGGGTCCCTCTGTCTGACGTGCTAGTTTAGTCTTGAACTCTCCACATACGCCCTTAGAGGGTCGGAAGGGTAACGGAAGAGAAGACCGCTATAGTCCTTTCTCAAGACCATCAGTTGCCTAGGTTCTTGAGGGATATTCAATTCTCCTATGGATGTTAATTAAGCACCAATGATCCTGGAAAAATTCCTCCTTCTCTGGCCAGGATTTCCCAAAAGCTCAGGCAGAGGGAGGGAGATAGTCATTAGCTGAAGCGCAGATGGTAGGAAATGACCAAGCGGCTTGCACTGAGGCTGTGCGCCAGGCTACCCGTGATGACATTACCATTTTCCAGGTTCTCGCTGCTTTCGTAGCAGCCTGAGTCTCGTGGCGAGCATCCGCTCAGGCCCTGGCTGTCCACGAGCAGCTTCTCCTGGGACCCCGACTGGTCGCTGTTACCTGCAGAAGGGGAACACAAAGCACGGCATCACAAAGGGAAGGGGAAGCGGGTTTCTGGGTCCACTGAGTCTCGGTCTTACCCTCCGTAATCACCACGTACACCACACATTTTTAAGCCTGGATTTTTTGAAGAACACTAATTATTTCAAAGTAAATGAGGGGGGAAAAAAATGAGTAAGCTCTAAACATTTTTCTTTTCAAAGAAGGTACAACATGAAAATAAATTTGGAGACTGAGAGTACATATTTGGAGTATGTCGATGCCTTTTACGTTACTCAGAGCATGACTCTGGCCTCGGGCCAGTCACCAGTCGCCAAGACAGACACTCTGAGCTGGTGTCAGCAGTGAGCAGGGGTGGGGGGGTGGGGGGGCGGAGACAACCCCAAGGGCTGGGCCCACGGCAGTGCACACAAGCCGAGAGTGAGCATGTCCCTTTCTCAAGGAGCTGTTAGGTCCTATGCCTTCTAAAAATCTCTAAGAGTTCACGCTTTCCAATGTCAAATGGAATAGCAAATCTTAGTCCAATTTTCGAGCAATCTTTGGCCTCGGTGACATGTGCTGGTCCTTGTATTATGTCCATGAAATGAGGCGGCAAAAGGGGACGCAAACTCCACACCAAGGAGAGCCCAGGGGTGAGTGTTGGCTGGATTGAGTTGAAGGTCTTCCTTTCCCTTTGCTTTCTCCTTTTGCGTTGGGTCAGTATTTCTGTTCAAGGGATAAGGCTCAGGGAGCCTTATATCCAGGGCGTGGAGTAATGAATACTCTTAAGATGAACGGTAAATGTCCTCATTCGAAGGAAGCCTTCTAAAGAGAAGCAGATGTTTCTGTGGCATGAAAGTCTGCCTAGTGTGAGTCACACGGGAAGTTCCGGGGGCCTTCTCCAGCCAGCGGTGTCACTGTGCACATTGCATTGACAAGGGCACGTGTGGCCCGATCTGGGATTGAGGTTACAGGAAGAGCATCTTTTTATTATTACGCAGAGTATGTGCATGGTCACATCACACAGAAACAAAATAACTAGTTGCATGATGAATGACTTTATTTTCTTTTTCTCTTCCTTTGTCCTCCCCCTACCATATACACAAAGAAGGAAGAAATCAGTAGACCAGAAATCTAATGCCTTTTCTCAGGTCATTAAAAAAATAATAATAAATTGTGGGAAGGCAGAGGGCTGCCATTCCACATCTGTGCCAGCTGTTGCAGCTGTCCGCTCACCACTTCCTGTTTGTATCTCTCACATGGAAAGCATTTTATAACACAGATCGTGGCAGAAATCATGGCAGAAGAGGCCCTTAAATTAGACCCCCAAGTTAAGAAAAGCTATTTTTAAAATGACTAATGAAAAATAAATTAATTGGAAGCACAAGAGCAAATCCTACCTCCTCCCCTGCACAAAAAGTGGCACATTCTAGGGTGATGTCCTCATTGTGTGCAAGAGTCTGTGGGCTTTGGGGTGGCCTTTGTCCTGGCCTAGCATGTTATTTAGGAAAATGATACTTCTAAAATGAGAGCTCTGAGCTATCAGTTACAACCCAGGAAGAGGAATCCACGTGGTTTGTCCTTGGAAACACAGTTCAATACACTGCCTCGGCTAAAACCAACTCCAAAGTGCTGACCGACAGGAATAACACAGAAAGCTGGGCCCCTGCCACTGCGTGAAGACGCAGGCTGCGTCTGCCTCTTTGGGGATGCCAGCCTCATCAGACACAGCACGGGGCCTGCCCGGAGGGACTGGGTCATTTGCGTTGCCTAGAAAACAGTTCAGTTTATAAAATCAAGAGGCGTATGGCAAGGAGCTACTGCCACGTTTTTTTTCAGTCAGCAGCTACTTAGCAGAAACTTCCATCAGAGAGACTGGAGAGGCAGGGTACCCCCTTGATGCGCAGCTGATTCAAGGCCATTTCCTCTCCCTGCACTTACTAAATTAATGTCAAGGTACAAAGAAGAAAGAAGGTGAGCTAAAGTCATGAAAATTTCACACAGACAAACAAGAGCGGAGGACTGGGTTGTGGGGCTGGAACCCCACTGGGGCATGTGCCAAACTTGGCCCTGAAGGGACTCTGCTTGGGCTAAAGGCCTCCCCCAACCCCCCTCTCACCGCGACACACACATGTACACAGACACGAACGTACACACACACACACACACAGGAAGGAAAACTATGCTAATCCAAACGAGGGCATTTACCTTGGAAAGAAAACGGAAGAGAATGGAATTTTTGAATGGCAGGCCTCACAATGGGCTTGAAACATTTACTTCTTTAAAACAAAAAAAGTATCAAAGCAAAAATGTTCTCTTTAGCTGGACTTAAGAAGTGACTATATGGACCTGTTTTATTTTTCTCTGTACTTTCCTGCGTATTTGAAATGACTGCTCATTACAATTCTTATGAAAATTACTTTCTTAAGGAAGAGAGCTTTCAGCGGGCAGACCTACGACAGTGGGTTTGGGACCAATGTAAGCAACTGCTGTCGGGCATGAAGTCTCTTCCAAATGGAACCCAGCAGCAAGGCTGGCGCGGCCCGGGCCCGGGTGAACAGGACCGCTGGTAGATGCGCTTCCTGCTCCTGTGGGAGGCTGAGCTAGAAGACTTGAGACATCTCCGAAATCTCTGTAGATCTGCGAATCTACACAGTAGACATTTAATTGGACATATATCTATTGTGTCCCGCTAAATTACCAGTTACTTAGAATATGGCTTAAACACAGAATTTAACTGCACTGAATGTAAAACCTTATCATCTGGACCCAGAGCCTTGTCACTAATTAGCACCCTGAGCCTTTGTCTTAGAGCCAAAAGAAGAGGGGCTGCTTCACGCGTTAGGAATGTTGGAAACGGTGGCACGGCATATGTTTGAAGTGAAATTTGTGAAGAAGGAAAGAGTCCTCCTTGGACTTCTGAGTGAGCATCATGATGGGCAAAGATTCCCTGTCACAAACTGTCTCCCAGGGCAAACCACAGGGCACGATTCCAGAAAGGACCCTGAGTCTGAGCCCATGAGATACGAGAGAGACTCAGTGTAGAGCCTGAATTACACTCAGCTTTTAGCATTGCCCCTCCTAAGTTCTGAGTGGTAAAGGAAACATAATGGGTAGGGTTTATAGACCCGCTGTTCTCAGAGTCTGAGGAAGAGCAAATGAGCTATTTTACAGAGCAGATGTGGTCCAGAACACTAGATGGTTTAACTTTAATTGTTATTAATATAGCTGGTTGGCCACACCAGGCACTGGGCCAGGCTCTTTGACACACAGCCTGGCCACAGACCCCCAAGAGACAACTCTAATACTAAAGGAACCTGCTTATAAAGTGATATTCACTACAAAACACAATTCCCTCTAAATCTGTCCCTGAAGGCGGTGTGTTTATCTAAGGTTCAGACATCTATAAGATGGCGTGTGGTCCCCCATGTAATCAGTTAATTTAGAGGGAGGACCTACCATGCAGAAGTGAGTGTAACTGGGCCGAGAGTGTCATTTGCTTCCTTGTCTCCTGGGCCTGATACCTTTGGTAATGTATACTTTTTTTTCCCCCCACCATTAACCATGGTTTTGGTGTGTCTTAACAATAGAAATGCTATTAGCTACTGATACTCTGAAACAGAGCACTTCAAAGAAAATGCATTTGAATTTAGTAACTGGAAATGATGCTTCCTTTGTGATGTGTCATTTCAGGAATATTTCTGATGTCAGACTAAAGAGCAAGAATAAAGAGCAAGATAAGACTAAGTCAATGGAGCAAACGATGCCATGTATTCAAATAGACTTCATGAAAGCTGCGAGCTCACTGACTTCTGCTCATGGGCTGTAAAAACGAGCTATCATCGTGGCCGAGCCTTTGCGATGTGGAATTCTCTGCTCCACACATTCGCTGCAGCCATTTCCTGCTCCTTCAATGGAAGCTGATGAATTTCACTTATTCATGAGCCAGCCTATTCAGTGAGAAAAGAACTCCTCGTGTGCTGAGAAGTAATTAACCTTTGGCTGGGCGACACACTCCCAGTTTGTCAGTCCCTCTTGTGCCCAGGTGCCGTAATGACCTGTGGAAGGCCACACAGCCCACGAGTCCCTAACGTGACTTCTACTGTGTTTCGCGAGAGAACTGTAATTCCATCCTCGGTCACTTAGAGCAGCATTTTCCTCAACGACTACCTAGACACACGCCAGAAAAGACATCAGCAGGAAGGTCTTCCTTTGCTCCCACTTCAGCAGGAAGGCCAGCGCTGGGAATTTATGTCTTTGTGCTATTTGACATAATGCAAAACTGACCTTGGCTTTGGAGAAAGCAGGACCAAATGAGTGACTCCAGGGACCTCAGCATGGGCGGGCCACTAACGGGAGGACAGCGGGTGGCCTGCGGATGCGGAGCTCTGGCATGAACGGCCCTGTGCTGGGGGGACTTACTGTCATACTCCTGTAACAGCTCCACCGCGGTCAAGAGGACAGCTCTGTGCTCCGGGTCCCTGATATTTAACTCATCCAAGTCTTCCTCCTCCAGGAGCTTAAAGGTGTCCAGATCTTCATATCCGTTGAACAGGAAGGTGGGCATGTGCTCCTGGGAGGGAGAGAGCACCAAAAGGCATCAGCGGGCCCAGCGCCATGATCCACAACCCACAACCGGCCTCACACCCCCCAACTTTTTCCATAGTTGTATCTATGCTAATTGAAAGATCAGTAAGTATCATTTGTAAGCTTTGTGCCTCCCAGTCCTATGGCTCAGTAGGCAGGCAGGCGCTGCGTTAATCATGGGTTAAGAAGACGCTCACTGCAGGCTGAGACTGGCTCCCCTGGCTTGCGTTTTAATTGTGCCCTTGCTATGAGCTGTCATCTTTGATGCCACATAGCGCTTGGTGGAGGAGGCTGTTCTTTCATTTCCAGAGCTACTGAAGTCCAACTCAGAAAGGCCTGTGACTTCCCCAGAAACAAGACGGTTTTGCAAGGAGGAAGCAACCTGCCGCTGCAGCCCCCGCCCCTCACTAGGTGTTGGGAACAGTGGTGGGAGATGTGGGGCGAGGGACTCCTCGTGGCCTCTGTGGAGCCAAGGGAGCAGGGGGCTCCCTTCCTGGCAGTAGCTCGATGCTCAGAGTTCTTGGAAAGCTGCTCTTGGGGTGCAAACAGCAAACCTCGACCTGGGGCTTAGCTACTGCCTGCTGCAGAGGTCATGGGCAGTGTTAGAATACTGTTACCTACTTCTGTAGAGCCATGGCTACTCATCACAATAACGGGCCACCGCTGTTGGATGACATAAGAGTACCCCCGCCCCTTCCCCGAAGTGTCCTCTCTGGCGTGCTTAGTTTAGAAGGAGAGGCAATGCGTGACCAGAACAGAACAGAACTGACTTTCAGGTTAATCCGATCAAGGAGATCCTCCACAGATTTGGGCTGGGGTGGTCTTCCTTTCCTCCTCCTCCTGGTGGGGCGCTTGGGCTTCTCCTCTTCCTCATTTAACACGTCCACATAGATGAATTTGAAGGTGCCCACCTTGTTGTTCAACAGGCCCATCCAGGTGCCCATGGGTGGTTTGCTGATTATATCGATGATGTCTCCTTTCTGCAGCCCAGGGAACAAAGATCTTTCCATTAGGCACACCTCTAAGCATGAATCGTGACTTGATGAGATGTATGAATCATGCAGACGTGAGAATACTACAAAGGCCAGAATCAGGGTTCCACAAGCGACCTTATGGATGGGGGTTTGGGAGAGGGCCAGACGGAACCCTCCTGGCTGCAGTGGATACGAGGGCCAGAGACCTCACACCCTCCGCCCTCCCACACCACAAGGTGCGGCATCTCCCAGTGCTCATGGCTCGGTGGAGGTGCCTGGCTCCCTGAATACCTCGACACCATCCAGAGCTCCTAGGGCCTAGAGAAAGAATTTCCCCTGAATCAAATGCCGGCGGCAATCCCCACTCTGTAACTGTACGTACATGTTGTGGAACTCCATCTGCCCCATCTAAATACCACTGACCATACAGAGAAGGCAGTGAGGTTTCTTCAGCGGGAGAAAGCACAGAAATTGGAGGCTGGAGGGCAACAGAAATTCTAGAGGGGAGCTGAGGTCAGAGGTCAGGGCCAGGAGGGTGAAGTGGTGAGGACAGAGGATTAACACAAGACCTGTCTGCCCCAAATGCCGGCCGGTTCTGATCTGTTTCAATACAGAGATCAGCTTATGACAGTAGCCAAGACACTGGCCCGTATGCACCATAGTAGCCCAGCATTCGACAGTAAGAATGGGATATATCTTACAGAACAAAAAGCCCAGGTCTAAGGCCAGAGAGAGACATACCTTGAGCTTGAGCGAATCTGTGTCATAGGGACTGGGGGTGAAGTCGGTGTGCACCCTGGCACGCCCACAGAAGGGGCCCCGGTAGGGGAGCTCCTCGTCATCACCGTCTTCCGACTTGACACTCTCCCTGTTGCTGGTTGAGGAATCGGTGGTACTCACTGTCTGACCGCCTGTTCAGGAAACACGGGGAGAAGGATCAATGCAGGCTGCTTGCAGAGCAAAGCTGAAAGACACTCACTAAACTGCAGGTTAGGCCTCTAGAGCGCAGAGGAGCGAAATCATGAGCCACAGCCACGCCGGGACCGGAGTGAGCCCCAGTCAGGAGTCCGGGGAGGAGCTGAGTGTTCTGATTGTTACCCACAATCAAGCCCCTCATTGGACACGTGGGACTCCAGCGAGTTACCTTTACGATGTGGCAGGAGCCCTTCACATTCACAACTCCCTGGTGGTCTGGCATACTGTTTTTGTCCCATATTACAGATGAGGAAACAAACTCAGAGAAGTCAAGTAACTTGCTCAAGAGCAAGTCCTTTTAAAGTGGTGTTTAACTGTGGAAACTTCCCCCACACCATTCTACAAACATCACCATTGGTCAGAGAGGCTGACTAGTGCTTGTTATCAGTGACATTTATAATTCTCTTCCCTTCCCCCATCTCTTAAGACTTCTCCTTTCTCCAGATCCTTCCTCTGAGATGCTTGCCCTATCTTCTGCAATCAAAACTCACCACCCCCTCTTTTGTGCTACGGCCGTGCCACCACTGAACAAATACGACTCTAGGGCCAGATATTTTGCAGATCTAGCTCTCTATGAGCATCCTAAGGATAAAACTTGGACTTCTTTATCTTGGAGTTGCCTGGACCTGACACCCAGTGAGTCTGATTTTGATTCCGAAAGAAAGGATCTACAATTACAAAGTAGACGTACTCATCGAGCTCTGTCCGCTCAGAGAACTCCGCAGACTCTCTACAGAACCCCCGGCTTTGAGCTTGGGCTTGTCCATGTGCTCACTCTCAGGTTGGGAGGACGGAGGGGAGCCCGGCATTCCATCGAGGCTCGAGTCCTGCAATGGAGTTCAACAAAATTGTGTTTCATCAGTGTGGACGACTGCCATTTGGTAATTCAAAGCAATTTAGCCCTCAATTAAATCAATCAAATTTGATGCCACAGCCAATATTCTCCGACTTTTTAATCTATATTCCTGCTCCATTTTAAAGTTGTGGCCTGTGTAACTATTAACTAAGCCCTTAAAAATTAGTTTTCATGCTCAAATAGACACTTTATTCGAGGCTTAGAGAATGCTAGCACACTCAGCAATCTGGCAATGAAGCTGGACTCCAAGTGCAGGTCGAGCAGAATCCACTAGCGAGGGAATATTTAATCTATTTGAGGGGAAACATTTACACTTAAAAAAAAAAAGCATATTTCTTATGTTAAAAAAGACCACATTTTTATGCTTCTAGTGACACAAATTATTGAAATTGGCTAATGAAATACCAACTCAGACCCAGATACATAGCAAAAACACCATTTTTCAGTCTATGAAGAAGTTGCCATAGGTCCTAGTTGGTCAGTTGTTCCCAGGTTTAGGATCTATCACATCTTTTTTGTGTTGTCAATAAAAAGCTGTGATGCCCCTTTCACGTCACTTTTGGGGAGGCTATGTCATCTGCTTGGTGGCCCCTGGTTTGCACACAGAAGTACAGCAGGCTCATTTGATGAGCGGTGCAACACTGTCTCTCTTCAACAGTCTGCAGTGAGGATGGCTTACTTGCCAAAACAGAAACTTCTCTGGCATATTATACGGCCATGGGAGCACCAAACCGTCTAAACAAAACCTGTTATTTGCATGGTGCCGACTCATCAGAAGGACTTTCACAGGATCCTGTGGGTCCTGCAAACATTTAAGGACAACAACCACGGCTGCTTCTGATCCAACACACATTCTGCTTTACATTGAAGGACAGTAAGCAGATGAACTCAAAAAACCAAACTATCGACGGAGGTACCGTTATTTGGAAGTTACTGAAGCTACAAAGTATGAACCCTTGAATACATTTTTTCATTTCTAAATCATAAGACATCTATCCAATTAAATTCTTTTTAATGCTTCTGCTAAAAGCACATGTTTTTATTTTTAAAAGTGATATTAAACATACCTCTCTGATACTGAATGTTCTTAAATGCTTTTAAAAATTATTAATTTATTCATCACATATTTATTGATTACCTACAAGAACAGGCACTATTCCAAGTAATAGGCACATAACAGGAACAGACAAAAATCCTTACCAGAATCGTTGGTGTATTTACTAAAAAGTTAAAAAAAAAAACAAAGCTTGCAAAATTAATCTTCTCTTCTCAAAAGGCATTATAATGGTTACTTATTCCTTCTCTCTTTCTTCACTTATGTGAAATGACTGCTTTAAAACAACAAAGAACTAAGAATACAAGGTGGGCATATAGTAGTAAAATTATAGAAAAATGCTCAAATGGCATTAAAATTCTATGCTCATGATCCATAAAGCAGAAAACCCTTACGGGTGTTAAATTTACATGAGCTTTTAGGGGAAAAGCCAACGAAATGAAGCAGCTTAAATTAGAGGTGCCGCTTTTACTGGCGTGCCGTTGGCTTCCAAGGAGAGTGCAGTGCGCTTCGTTTCTGGTCGGAAATACCGATCGCCGCCTCTCCTACGCCAAGAGGGACTGGAAGTGCAAAGAATACAGAAGGCAGCGGTAGCGAAGACACCCTGGGGGTGGCCCCGACTTCCCCTGAATGTCAAAGAAGCTAGGGTTTCTCCACCTGAGAACTATGAGCATTCTGGATGAATGATTCCTTGTTACAGGAATGCTGTCCTGAGCATTATAAGATGTCTTCCTGGTCTTTATCCACTAGATGTCAGAAGCACTCACCCCACCCGAGCTGTGACTGTCCAAATGCCCCAGGGGAGCAAAATCACCCGCAGCCCCTGTGACAACCACTGCAATAAACTGAAGATGTTGTGCAGGCTTTGTCTGAATCCCTGTGGCTAGTTGGTGTTCACAGTGATCCAAACACGGTGATGCTTGGATTTTTGCTTACTATGCCCACCAGAGGGCAGCAGCTGAGCCACAAAGTCTGCTCTTCCTGGTTTTATCTGGTAGGTAAAGCGGCATTACCCACGTAGTTCAAGTAGACAACCAGCGCACGCAAGTACTTCAACAGACTACAAAGTGAAGACCACAGAGGTGCTGGAAGAGGCTGCTTTGAAAAATCTAATGGTCAGAATTAGCTAAAGGCTCAGCTCTCCACACATCTTTATTCCCTCTACCCACACAATTAAGATAGAAACTGGCCTTTCTAGTGAAGGGATTATATAGAATTGGATGGGATCAATTCTGTGACATCTTAATGGCTGCAGGTAGAGCCAGTTAGGGAAAGCATCCCCATGGAAACATGATCATTATCAAAGTCCTGTAGCCAGGAAGCATTTTCTGGGGTCACTGCTCAGATTGGCCGTGCACTTCTGCAACAACTCGCGGTGTATTGGAAAAGTCTGCTGCCTAAGAAAACTCGAGTGTCTTCTTTTGAGATTTGATTCTGGTGACAGCCACTTTGTAGGAAGGGATATTTTAGAAAATTAAGGTCCTTCCTTTGTGTATAAATTGTAGTGCTTATTGCACTAAAGAAGAATCATTTTTTCATAGGTCTGTCTTTCCTCCTGTCTATGCAGAGAAGGTCTGCATTTTGTATTCCCAGCGCCACGCATGGTGCTAAAATGATCCTAAGTGCGCACTAAATGTCCACGGTACCAAATGTGGGTCTGCGGAAACCCAGCGTGGTGGTGGAGCTGGGTTAGTGCCAATGAATGTCTGTATTTAGCGCCCTTCACGATCTCAGGCTGACCATCCTCGGCTCTCCTCACTGTCAGGGGGAGCCGAAGGGCTTTCTGCTCGGTGGCTGCGTACCTGCTCAGAGACAGGGCTGCTGTATTTTTTAGACATTCTCTTCCTCATCGTCTCTTTTACCGATTTGACCTTTTTTCCAAGAGAGATGCGGGAGGCAGTAGGTGATTTGATAACTTCCTTGTACACAAAATCTCCTTCTTTACTCTGCAAAACAAAACACATACCTTTAATCACAGAAAATAAAGTCCCCAAAGAGACTTTATTATCCAAATGGTTTTATTATCCAAACCATTAATGTTCTCTCTCTCTCAGAAAAATACCACCATCCCCCAGGACTTGGAAGATTTTCCTATTAACTCAGGGCTATCTTAATTAATCACTGGTTAACTTTTCTTTTGTTTACTTCAACTTTTTTTTAATTTTTCAATTACAGTTGACATTCAACATTATTTTATATTAGTTTCAGGTGTACGTTATTTGTCTTTTTTATTAAAAATTGAAAGCTACTCACTACGGGACTTTTGTTTGTTTAAAGTGGGATGTGAGATACATTTTATTTTATTTAATCTTAGTACATTCCTCTCCTATTATGCTTTTTTCCATCATTTTAAATACCCAAGGGGACTGCAGTTCATCAATAAAGAGTGATTCAGATGAACCGATATTCACATAATCCCAGCAGTGGGGAGAAGAGAAGGACAGTATTACGAATCGCCCGGGAGAGTGGCGAGAACACAGCGGGGAACCTCAGTCATTACAAACCAGCATCTGATCGGATCTGCATCAGGGCAGCACGCGGTGTGGTCAACTCCTAAGAGTCAGGGGGTGGGTAGGGAAGAACTCATACTTCCTTTTATTGTTTAAAAGATGGGCTACCTAAAATTACTGGTTTACAAATCAGCCCTGGCTGGTGTGGCTCAGTGGAGAGAATGCCGACCTGCAAATCAACGGGTTGCAGGTTGGATTCCCAGTCAGGGCACATGCCTGGGTTGCAGGCCAGGTCCCCGGTAGGGGGCGCATGAGAGGCAGCCACAGACTGAAGTTTCTCTTTCTCTGTCTCCCTCCCTTCCCCTCTCTAAAAAACAAATAAATAAAATCTTTAAAAAACCCCAAATCAATAGAACTTGATATCTAAATAAAATAGTTTTATTCTTCCAGAAAATGCTCAAACACTTCAAAAATGACAGATGGGTGTTTTAAGCTGACACTTGATCACAACAATATAAAGTGGTTTGCTGACACAATGCATGAGGGGACAACAGAATGTTATGCAAAACTTGCCTACGTCCCGGAGCCTTAGCAAGTAAACCCAGGGAAGGAAACCTGTACAGACCAGTCCCCAGGAATCTCAGCCCTCAGGGCTCTGCTTTGCTTTGTCCCCAGGGAGACTGGGTTCATTTGGGGACATCCCAGAGCAGAAAGACCTGGGTTTAATATGGGGCTAGGAATTGGCCTCTGATAAAACTGGTTTTTAGAAATTCTGGCAAATACTCTTGAACCCAAATCACAGGGCTCCATCCCGCTGCACTGCTGGAGTGTAGCAGCCATGAGCACTCAAACCTAGTGTGAGGCCACAGAGGGCAAACGCAGCTGGAGCCGCGACTTGGAGAAAACTGGAAACACAGGCACAGAAGGAATGATGCTACCCGTAAGGACAGAGATGGAGGCCAGAGGTGGTCACAGCTGAGCCCCACAAAGAGAGGGGTCTCTAAGGGGAGAGGGCGGGGGGCTGGGTGCGAAAGGTGAAGGGATTAAGCAAAGAACAACCTCACAGACACAGACAACAGTAGGGTGATTACCAAAGCGAAAAGGGAGGTGGGGGGAGATGGTAGATGGAGACTTGACTTGGGGTGGTAAATGCAATATAAGATGAACTCTGGCTGGTGTGGCTCAGTGGATTGAGCTCTGGCCTGCGAACCAAGGGTCACCAGTTCAATTCCTGTTCAAGGCACATGCCTGTGTTGGGGGCCAGGTCCCTGGTTGGGGGCATGCCAGAGGCAACCAGTCGATGTACTTGTTACACATCGATGTTTCTTTCCCTCCCATTCTCCCTCCCTTCCAGACTCTCTAAAGATACATAAATAAAAATCTTTAAAATATATCTATAGATGATATATTATAGAATTGTACACCTGAAACCTATATAATTTTATTATCCAATATCACCCCAATAAATTCAATAAAAGAAGATTTCTTTCAATAGGTGACATAGGTCTTCTTTTCAAATACAATTGAGGATCACCAAGGAAAAGGCTACCCAGTATCAATCCTCAAAAACACTGGATGTGAAACTATGTCAACCACATCGCTTGAATCCAAACCTTTGGCTTTTCCGTGGATGGGTACTCACCATTGGGTCAGAATTATTACTGCCAATGTGCAGAGAACGATTTGTCAAGTCAAATCCTCCAAAACTGCAGGTTCTCTGTGGAAAGGAGAGGGCAGGACCATTAGGCTCAAGGCAGCCGGCAGCGTGTCAACCCAACACAGCTCCCATTTGCAGGATGTCACTGAACCACAAATGCCATACAGGATGAAAGTAGGACGAGAAATGATGAGGAAAAAAAATACATGATTCATGTTATAAGGAAGCTTCCCTCATTTTACCCTTGCACAGGCCGCTGGAACGGTGCCTACACCAGAGGTCCAGAATCCCCTGGTCATGCAAAACCAACTGGTTAAAAAAAACACACACGCAACAAAACACCATCCACGTGTTAACCGCTCCAAGTTTCCGTCTCTCAGCAACAGACTTCCCCTCCCAGCCCAGCTAACGTCAGCTGCACACAGTGGTGGCGAGGAGGGAAGCCATGTGCTCAGAAGGGTCTTGGAGCCCCAGGTCTGAAATCCTATGGCTCTGCAGCCGACGGGCAGGCTTTCCTAACAGACTCTTTTGTTTAGTTTTAAATCACTAAGAAGGGGGAAAATGGGGTATGTTTACAGAGGCCCAGTCAGGCCAAGGGGATTACTCACTCACTGCTTTCCTGACGGAGCCAAAAATGCTGGTAAGTTTCCCATCTCACTGCCCAACTTCATTAATTATGACCCTTTTTTCTTGGTGGATGAAGTGGAAATGCCACATGTGTCCAGAAAGAAACAAGTTGATTCAGTGACTGTCTTTGACCACAGTCCGTAATTTCAACAGGAAAAACACAGATGTTATGAAAAATGAAAACTTTAATGTTCTTCCTGTTGGTTTCGCATTTTGTGAAACTGCATATATTTCAGTGATTTTTCTATTTCGAGAACTTGGGTTGAATTCCCTTTCATTTTTCTAGCAAAAGGTACTCAAGGACCATCTCTGTGATGCTCCCTGCACCAATAAATATATAATAAGAAAAGAGAAACTTAAAGCACACTATTTCTATTACAACTGATTATAGTTTAAGAAACTGGTAATAAAAGCTGAATAGCAGATTTGGGTTCCATTATCTCTATACTGTTTCTCACATAACTCTAGTCAACAGCTATTAAGTAGAAGAAATGAACACAAAGCACGATGTATACTGTTTATTTTAAATAAATGCCCTTTAGATACATATTGAGTTGCAAAAGAACCATCCGGAAGGAAAATGCCTCTGGATTTTTGAAATTACACAGAGGTGGATTCAGATCCTAGGTTCTGCCACTAGACGTGCTGTGTGACCAGAGGTAAAATACTTAAACTCTGTGAGCTTTGGTTTCTTCAACTGCAAAATACTACCTATATCATATAGTTGAAGACTTCTAGAACGCTACCTGGTACAAAGCAGACACCCTTCCGAATGTTACTGTCCTCCATTACTTCTCATTTGGGTTAACTGTTATACTGAAGTTTAGGCTTAGACAACATGGCTTAGACGTCATTAATCTGCAAATGACGGACCAGAGCTTAGTTCTGTGCCTTACATTCTGTGAGCCTCAACGGTAGCACCAGAGCATCCCAGAAATGGGTCCAAAAGGGAGAGTGAGCAGGTGTAGCAGAACGGAGGGCCCAGGGAGGCAGGGCGTTACAGGAAGTGTTTCGGGGTCTCCGACGTTCAGGGCGTCACGCTGCTCATCTCCTCCCCTGCAGTCGTCGCTGCTGTTTTAAATAATCTACCACAGACAGGATGTCCAGTGAACATTATTCTAACTTTACATTAAATGCCAATGGGCAATCTGATTTCCCCTAGAGTCATCTGAACTAGACCTGTATCTATTCTATAAAAACAGACAGACTTCTTTATGCAAAAACATTCACCAAATCCCCTAACCTGGGGAGCAATGCTATGAATACCTCTCCCGGCTAATTTTTAACATTAATTTCCCTTTCTTGCTTATAATGTCAAATAGATATTTCTCATTTTTGCAAAGGCAGTAATTGTCTTCCAGCTCTTTTCCTGTGACTCCGGGCTTCACAGACACAGTATGGCACCCAGATGCCGCCTCATTTTATGGCTTTTGCACTTTCCTGCTTTAAATTCCAGCAGTAACTGCGACACTGGAGCCCAGCATGTTGTTTCTGATGCATGTGAAATAACTGACAAAGAATTTATATGGAAACTGTAACTGTAATAAATTAGAAGCTCATTTATATCTTCATATGCCTGCTGTATGCATTTATTCCTTGAATAAAAGTCTTAAGAGTGGACCGGTTTTCATAACCTCCAACTAAAACCTCTCTCAGCAATATGCTAAGATATCTGGAAATGATTCTTCTTTATCATTGTAGGAGAACAAAGACTGTAATCAGGAACATGACTTGAACTAATCTCTACTTTTTCAGTAACATTAAGTAGTTCTCAAAGCACCACCCCTTCAACAGAGAAAAGAGATTCCAGACAGAATAGTGAAAGAAAGTAAACCGATCTTCAACTTCGGTGGTCTCCATCAATTAAGCCTAAATGAGAGCTGTAAAGTTCATACTTCTCATGCGTAGGTAATTGTAAGGACATTTTAGAGAGATGCTTGTGGATGAGGAGGTCCAGGCAATGGAATGGTCATGCGGTTGAAAACATGTTTTTGGGGGGGCAGGGCTGAAGTTTAAAAATGGACGAAGTTCCAAAATGCCATGCATGTCTGTTCCACCAAACGAAAACTGAATGACCAAATAAAAAGCGAGACGTGACCATTTTCAGTGAATATACAGCATTATCATTTCCCTGAAGTTTCATCAAGCAAATATGGCACTTTTTTTTGAAAGACAAAAAGATAAAGGTTGAAGATTAAAGAAAACTTTGGATAAATGAAGGAGCTATACGACAGAAGAATAGAAAGAAACTTCCAAAATAAACCAAGCAAAGAAATTTTCTCAATCTCTTAAAAATAAAAGTATCTTTCTGATGTTTAACATTATTTTCCCGTATATTCTCTGAATAATTATAAAATTTTGTTTTCCTGATTGTACTACTATGCTTACAATAAAAGATACATGTAAATTTCTAATTTAGCACTGAACACATTATTTCAACAAGTATCAATACTGCCCAGTACTGCCTTGAGTTCACGGCACCTTAGAAACAGCCAGCCTCTGGCTGACACTTGGAATAGAAACTACATACACCACCCTTACAGGGGAAACAAAAATGCTCAGGTGTCCTTATTCAATGTCAGTGGAGAATCAGTGACTGTCCTAGCACATTAGCTCAAATCTTGCAAAGAGAACTTCTGGACAGAAAAAGCTCAATCAAATTGTATCATTAACTTGGTAATAACCAACAGGAGGCACACACGAACAACTCCAAGTGCTCAATGTGGCAAACTTCTCAGTATTACATGACTTAAACTCATGAGAGCTGAGTCATCAATTAACAGAGAAGAGGCGGATCTGTTCTATCAAGGCCCTGCCAGACAGCAGAGAGGCACAGAGGCTGGGCAGAACACTTCTAAAGGTAAAATGTTAATCACACCGAGACCGGTTAACCACAAGTATTTTACAAAAGATCTGTGGGTCAGAACTGAATGAGTGAGAAAAAAGAATTCTGTTATTTTACAACAAAACAGAATCACCAAAAATGGTTGCCATGATGTTGAAGGAACTAGAAGAGAAGTTGCTACTGGCAGTTATGAACAGTACTGTAAGACTGATAGGAATGTGAAAAGAAGGACAAGTATTAGCAAGATGGTCAGCTCACGTGGGAATATTTGGAAAACGGAAGGGCTATGGTCAGACCGAAGGACCTTTTGGAGCAGAGAAAGCCACCTTAAGGATAGCACTGGCCAATCAGCCTCTGTTTCCACAAAAGCAGAACTTCACTGAATGAATTTAAGTTACAGTAATCATCTGCGGAGAGCATCTTACTCGTGCATGTGGATGAACCCTGGAGAAAAACCCCCCAAGAGGCTGCAATGCAGACTGCTCCTTAGGCCTTTAAAAAAGGGGGACAGAGCCCGCAGTCCCGCGGAACTCAGCAGTGCGCCCAGGCCAGCAGGGCCTGGAGGACGGGTGGGAATTTCAGGGAATAAAGTACCAATATTCTCAAGTTTAGAGTAAGTCATGCCCTGAAGATAAGTTTTACAAAGTTGGAAAATTCAGTAATAAAACTAAAAAACATTGCATTATTTGAAAATAAGTACATTATTCTTTGCCATGTACAGAAGAACAGAGCTGTGCAGGGCATTTTTGAATATTCGTTCCTTTGACTAAAAAGATTGAGACCATCCACTAGGCTTAAGTAAAAGAGCTTGAATTTTTTTGCCCTTTAGAGTTAAGAGTTTTCCATTTGCTTCTATTGATAAAAGAAACATACTTGACAACGTTTCCAAATCACCAAACTGGTGCTTGCGATGATGGCAATCTTTCCATGAGCTAGTTCCTATTGTTTTAATTAAGAAAAACAATAAGCATCTCTTTTAAGGGCAAAACGTCCTCTGTTTTGAATCAGCTTCCTTGAGATCAAGTGACATGATGGCTGGGAAAGAAGACAGCCCCTCCTAGGAGGAGGTCAGACTCCACCCCACTACTCTGAAGGCCCTTCTCTGGATCAGCCTCACTGTTTAGTTTTAATTAAAAATCAAACAGCGTCAACTGGAAAAAGGACAATGGGGAAGAAGGAGAAGCCGCTGCTAAATGACAGCAGGGTCGGAAACGGGAGAGGATGGTGGGATGGGCCCAGAAGGGAGGAAGTCAGAAGTAGAAGCAGGGGTAGGGATACCAAGCTCCACAACAGAAAGGCCATAATGCTTGACTCCACATCACAGAAATGACAAGGCCGTCCTGGGGACCCTCTTGGAGACTCACGGACTTCTGGTGGATTCTCAAGAGAACCCTCTTAGTACAGCGGTCGACTGTGGCGGCCCACTTCCTCTTGGCCTCCTCATCCTCCTCCAGCAAGCGCCGCCTCAGGTCCTGCTTCTCAGCCTTGCTCAGGCTCCTGTCTGAGGCAGGACGCACTAGCTGGGCCAGGTTCAGGTGGCTGTACAGGCTCCGCTCCACCACGTAGGTGATATTGAACTCGCTGACTGAGGGGCGCCCGCGCACCCTCCTGCTGGGGGCGCCACAGCTCCCTCCCCCTTTGGGTCTCTGCCGGAGCAGCTGCAGGTCACAGGTCGTGCTGTTAACTCCTTTTCTGGAGGGACGCTGGCAGAGGAAAGCTCTGGAACATGAATAATTAGTATCCGTTTTCTTCAAGCGGATTTGCTTGCGGACGCTCTGAACCTCCTCCAGGGACACTAGAAGGTGGTGCCTACGATGGTGGTTGTCATAGAAGCAAATACCATCCGTACTTACCCCGTGGCTCAGGGACCCGAGGCTCTTCTTCATCTCGCCCTCAGTGAGGGAGCGGGACACCTTCTGGGCCTTTTCTTCTTCTGGATAGGAGAAGAAGGTCCCCATCTTCTTGGGGGGCTTAATGAGGCCCCGACTTTCGCCTTTGCTGAAGGTTTTGACCAACTTCCGGCCAGCTCCCCAGGTCTCCGGGTTGCCAGATGATGGCGAAGTGGCGACAGAGTCTGAATCATCTTCCGGAGGTTTCTCGGGGGAGCCATCAAAGAAAAATGGCTTCTTGTGCACTCCAGAGTAGAGGGCAGACCTCTCATCCAGCACTGGGGAGTTCTCAAACACAGGCTCCTCTCCACCTGGAGAGGAATCAACACAGACACGGTCAGGGCCTCCCAGAAACAAACCTTCGTGTTCTCTCAAGACCTTTATTTATGCACCCCCCACAAAAAATACGCTAGTCCGAGCAGAAACCCCAGGGATCCCCCTCCCCGTATCCCTTACACTCGTCATAAACCTGGCTCCCACTTAAATAGAGGCATGTAAAAAAGAAACAATCCAACTGTGCAAACGTATGTTTTCGCACGGGTGTCATGTTAAAAGGTTTCGGGTGTGTTCCTTTTTCTTCAAATATCTTTATAGACCAAACACCTTAACAGGCCTATTACAAATGCCATGTGGACAATGTGAACCAGTCATTAGCATGATACGTGTTCCTTAGCCTTCAAAGGCAATTAGTCTCCCCAGTTTAAATGCAGTGATCCTCAGGAGCTGAAAATCAGCATCTCTCCCCTTCTGAGAGGCCCTCCTGTTGAGGCTGGCTGCCTTTTTATGCTCGGAGTGTGATGCATGCCGTGCGGCTGACAGCGATTTTTTACTGGTGCATATGCTGTTTAATTAAGTCACCGAGGCAGGCTGGGTGCGGAAACACCACGAGGGGTTGTGCCTTGCAAATACAGCCGACAAATGGTCCCCAGTTGACAGGCCAAACTGAAAAAGTGAGGGAACTGAGTGATCCCAGCCAGACGTTCCCATCAGCTCAGGCCCTGGAGCAGCAGCAGGGGCATTTCAGGGCCGGGACATGCAAGCAGCCCCACCGGGCGGTCTGCTGCGTCTCGAGGCCTCCAGCCCCCGGAGCCCTCGCTGGGGCCAGGTATCAGGCCAAGCCCCCCGGAGCCCAGTGGAAAGGTCTGGGCTTGCTGGCAGGAAAACTGAGTTCTTTTCTGCATGTGTGATGTGAACAGATGTGAGAAAAAGAAGTAGGTCAAACTGTGGGTGTAGTGACCCCATCTGGCTGCATCCCTTTAATTATAAGGAAACTTTTGAGCATGGCAGGTTTCCACCAGCTGAACTGTGAAGGGGAAAAAATACAAAGTTTCCTGGAGCAGAGGGATGGCGCTAAATATACCAGCTGGGACGAGGGTGCCAGTGTGTGGAGAAATGTCAGCGACCAAGGGAAAGGACTGCTCACTTCAGAGCGGGGAAAAGAGGAGGGAGTTGGTAGCAGTCCTTTAAAGTTCCAAAAGTTCCCTACTTTTTCAACTGATGGGACTTAACAGTTAAAAACATGAAGGAAAAAAGGTACCACTGCTATTAAGTACAACCCAAGCTTGGCTCAGATGTCAAGGAGATGGCGGTGCGAAGGGACCGTCGAAAGCTCTCTACAACCTGCAGCACAAATATCCTCACGCAAGATTTATTCCCGGATCCTTCCAGAGAGTTTGAAATCAGGGTTAGGACAGGAATTCACCAGACCAGAGGCAGTGAGCGAATCTCGTGAAAGTCTCCCGCTACTTCCTCAGGATATCTGACTAATAAAGTGTGCACACCAAGGGTCCCTGTGTTGCCGGAAGTACAAATGGCAACCTCTTCTAGATGGTCCATTCTCATCGGCCAAGACGAGAGGCACAGCCTTCTCTGCAAAAGCAGTCCAGTCACAGATCACGGCTTTACCAGCAGCCCTGGTGTCTGCGGGGGCGTGCAAAGGCCCTTATCTACCCACGACCCTCTGGGGCTTCAGGGAAATTGGGTGGGTTGACTAAATAGTTGAAGAACCTGTCACTCAGCAATGGGCTGGAAATTTTCTGGGCTCTGCCTAGGGGCTGTCATCGGAGATTCCAATTCTTCCATGTCACATTTGAGTTTGGGACCAGCTGGGGCACACATAGCCATGACATATGTAGCTCTACCTCCTGGTCCTGGAAGTCGGCATCTACTGAGAAGTTGGGAGGGACATGCAGCCGATGTTTCCAAAGTGGCTGCACAAGCCGGTGCAGACGGCAGGCCTCCCAGGTGTCGGCTCCCCTGTCCGCCAGCTTCAGCCTGAAATCCCAGCCCGGGCTTGACTCCTTGGGCTCCGAGCACTGCATCCTTGATTCTCCTCTGACTTGACAGTGCAACTACCCTACCGGGAGAATGACGCTCGAGAGTGCTCACTCCGTCATCACCTGGTGTGATTTGCTTCACATATTGACCTTTATCTATTTTCTGCAGCTGAGATCAGAATACAGAGGGAATCCAGAGATTTATGCCCTGGATTCCAGCCCTGGCTTTGCCACTCAGCATCTCCGTGACCTTGGGCAATTACTTCAATCTCAGAGTCTGTTTCTCAGTAATACTACAGGGGCATGGAGAGGAAAAAAATAAACAGAAAGATATCTGTGAAGGGACCCTATAAGCTGAAAAGCGCCCTATGTGAGCGAGTGATTCACTACCAGGTTACGGATAAGCTGGAGCAATGAGGGAAGGGGATGGGATGGTATCAGCTCTGGAAAAAGACACAGAAAAGAGCAGAAAAAGGGCACCGGCCTGGCTCACAATTTAATATTGTCTAGGGCCACCTGTGCCCCAGATAGGGGCTTGAAATTCAAGTGACCAGGTGAGCCTGGGTGAAGGATTTTAACTGTCCAGGGTTTTCGAAGCCTGCAGAGCTGGGGGCTGAGGGAAGGCATGGGAGCAAGGTGGGACCCAAAATGCAGAGGATGCAGGCTGCCCGGACTTGGCTCTGGGGCTTGTGCTGGCTGGCTTGGTGGGGTGCCCTGGCGTAAATTACTTCACCTCTTGTTGTCTCAGTTTTCTCATTTGTGAAATGAGCATGGTATGAATCCTGCCTCTGCTGGCCATTGGGAGAATGATTGAGTAGCAAGAACATAAAGTCTAAAGTGTTTAGGAAATGCCTGGCAAGCAGAATGCTCTCAGTAAATATTCAGACAACTTAGTAAGGGCACAGGCATGCAGGAAGTCAAAAGGATCCCATCACTGGAAGTCTGGGGCAGGGGTTATGGGGAGTATGAATCTTAACTGCTTGCAGAAGCAGGGGCCAAAGTAGCAAGGACCACTTCTTTTGCTAATGAGGAACCACAGAAAGTTCTATGCAGGGGTTGGAGGGAGTTCTTGTCTAGCAGGGTGTTGGGGACAGCGCGATGCAGAAGTCCTGAGCCACACACACACCTGGGGCCTCTGTCCGGGATACCCACAAGCCCGGCCAATGGCGTCCCAGCTCCCCAACTCAATCAGGACTCAGCTCACTGAACCCACCGTCCACCAGAGACATGGAACTCATACCAACATGAATTCCAGTTCAGAGTAAGAAGTCCACGTGGTCATTATTTTTACCCTAGAGCTATCTCTTTTGGTATATATTTTTCCTTTTTGCACCTACATCTCTCAGAGTTGGTTGAATTATTCATTCTGAGGGGAATATGTGAGTTAGAATATTTCCGTGTTTTCACAAATGTTATCCTAGTGGAAAGGCTGCCTCAACACACATGACTATCATGTACAAAGCGGTCAACACTAACTACTCCACACACTGTATCTCATTTATGAACAAGATGTGCCAATTAAGTTGTGATCCTTGAGATCTGAGATGGGTTGAGTGTGCATGAGGTTTTAAAATGCGATGCCCCCAAGGTTCAATGATGGCGACCCCATGTGATTCTAGCTCATGTTCCTAATGGACACTGTGCAGGTGATTTCAGTACGAGCTGCCGCAATGAGAGGAAGCCATGTAAGTCTTCCATGTTGAGAAGACAATGACTGGCAGGCAGATATCAAAACAACCAAAGGTAAAATCAGCATTGCATCCATGCAAAAAAGACACCCAAACAAAAACCCAGGTAATTCAATACAACTCTAAGTTTATGAAATTGGCCATATAGCAGGTTTCTTTCAATTTCTACTTCTTCCCTTTCCCTTTTAACTTCCACTCTCCCACAGTAACCACTTTACCTTCAATATTCCTCCAGAGGATTTAAACTGATAATCGCAACAAATTAAAATAAGAAACAGCAATAATGGCAGCGGCAAACTATCATCTACTTAAACAAAGAGAAATTCAGTTCCCACCACAGTTCGACTTTATCTATGTACCAAAAAAAGGTCCCTACAATGGTACTTTCTAAATCTACACGTTAAAATTTTTAAATTCTTCACAAGGTAGGTGTGACATTTTAACAACATGCAAAAACAAACAAACAAAAAACAAAACACAACAAAACCCCAAAGGGACGTTCTTTCCAGTGTTTTTTCCAAACAGAACATCTTATTCTTTTATTTTTTGGGGAGATTTTTACAAGATGCTGCAAATGCACATTACTAACAAAAAGGGAGACAGATCCAATTGTGATTTAAACTGTCATAATTACACTTGAAAGGTTAACTCTTCATTCCAATAAATGCAAGCTCATTGCCCCTTTTGACACTATTGCTTCATCTAACAAGTGGCTTAGGCAGCAGTACAGCTCTCAAAGATCCACTTAGCATGGCAGGTCCTTAAGGCCCCATTTGAACTCAGGCTTGATCACCCCTCAGAGGTCAAAGAAGAATGGGAAGTGCCTTAATTGTCAGATGTTTGTTTGAAATGGATGTATATCAAACTTCGACTAAATCCACTGGGCAAGAACCAACCACTGTCCTTTTCGGGGCAGAGGCTTATACTAAGAGGAAATTATAAAATCAAGTTACTATAAAATGATATAAGCTCAAAATGAAAGCTATGCCACACCTTGAGAAGATTTCACTGTCACATACAAGCCAGTTCCCAGATCTGCACTATTTTAAAATACCAAGCCCCCAAAATGCTGGATGCCGGGCCCTTCACCCCATAATGTCGTGAGCACCGCCTCGCAAATATGCAGAACCAATTCTCCTCTGCCAGAACTCAATCCATTTTCCACTTGAAATCATACACTTTTTTCTGCTGAAAAACAGACCCCACATGATTTGCTTTGGAATAAGCAGGGTGGAGTTTGCGTTTTTACCTTCTGTGCTGGGTTTTTTCATTTCTTCCACTCTGATTAGTTTCTTCCTCACTCTGCGAGTGGAGTTCACCAGCTTGTGTAACCTCTTAAACTTCACCGACTCCTCCGTCTCATCATCCGATTGTTCTCTTGACTGGCAAAGAAACAGAAGAAAAGTTAATCATATAATTGGTTCAGAGCTTTGCTCTTGCAGCCGGGCGCAGCCCAGCCTCACCGCCTGCGTGCACCCGGGCAGTGCTGCAGCTAAACTCTGGGCTCCAACGAATTTGCCCAACAGGTTCCCGAAGCTCCACCTACCATCTTAAAGTCTAAGGAGTGGAGAATCAGGTCCTAAGCAGCACAACACACACCCTTGCCCTTGACCGACATGGGGTACATTTTTGTCTCAACTACTTCCCGGTTGGTTCTCTTTTAGGAGAACTCCGCAGGACTCTCTCCAAGGCCGGCCCTGTAATTCCCGTTTCACTGCTGTGGTTTGGGCCAGGCTCTCATCAGCCTGGCCCACCAGGACTTGCTGTTTAAACGTGGTCACCAACTACTTCTCCAAACCAAAATTCTGTTGACTTGTTCCAGTCCTCCCCGAAAATCAAAACCGGCACGGCCGGAAAAAGAAAGAGATGCAAAAAAGCTGCCTTCTACCTTGCTTGTGAGGCCTGCCTGCCACATCTCAGCCATGCCTACAGCCTCTCCCAGCTCCCTCCAAGAGCTCACCAGGCAAGCCTGAGGACAGCCCCTGCATTCCTCCAAGAGGGACAAGGGAAAAAGCTGACCTTTTCAGCCATACGCTACAGTCCATATTCCCCAGCATCCCATTCCGTTGTGCAGTGATTCAAGTATGCTCAGCCCAGCTGTTTTCCCTCAAGTATCCAACATTACAGACAGAAAAAAAAAAAAAAAAATCTCTCTCCGCTGCAATGACCCAGGCAAAAAACAATCCTTTCCTTGTGAACGAAATGAGGGTTTCACTTCCAAGTCAGCTCCAACATTCAATATGCAGCTTCCTCTGTTTTATCTGTTCAAAATGTAAAAAGGCAAAAGAAGTCTCCAATGAATTGGGCTGTTGCACGGCTGGGCTCCGGCGTTCCCGGGAGCACAGAGCCGGCGGCAGTGCGCAGGCGCGGCACACCCTAGGCAGCTGGTGCGACTCCAGCCCATACTGCACGTCCTGGCAACAGCTTTCTCTCCGTTTCCTCAAACCTACTTCACTGAAGGGGTCGGGAGAGGACTACACTGAATACACAGGACACAAACAAACCGGGTCTCCGAGCACCAGTTTCATATGGAGACTCCCCCCGCAAGAAGTGAGTTCATTCATCGCAGCATTATAGACAATCAAATAGGTAAGCAAGAGTAGGCAGAGAAGGGTTCAAGAGGAACCACCGTTGAGATGATAGGGATTACCGTATTGTACCTTGTACAACGCGCTCCCGTGCATAGTGCGCACCTACGCTTTTGTCCCAAACTTTCAGGGGGGGAAAAAATCTTTCTTCTTAATTTTTTTAATTCAGTTTTTTACTTATTTATATTTAGGAACAAAACCAATGATCACATTCCAGGGTATTATTTTACATATGGGTATCATTACTGCTTTCTAGAGTTACACTTTTTGCCACATAGGCATAAAGAAAAGAATTAAAAACACATATAGATATGGAATTAGTACTATCCATGTATAATGTGCATCCTTAGTTTTCCCGCAAAAATTTGGGCAAAAATGTGCGCATTATACACGGCAAAATACGGTACCTAGGTATAAAAATGGTGCATGTTGTGAGACTAGAATCATTTCCGCAGCACTTCGGCTCTACGGAAGGGGCAAGTACAAGCCAGTTCCCGGCCGCCTTCTCCCACTGGAGGTCCCAGCATTGAGCCACTGCACCTTCTTTCTGTATGACCCTGCGCAAGTCATTCACCCACTAAAGATTAATTAACATTCCCCATGAATGACAAGTCGTCAGAAGGGGATTTCTCAGGCTTCAGTTCCATGAAGAGTATCAACGCTCATGTACAATTTCTCTAAAGTTCTCAGATATAATGTTGCATGCACTTTCCAGAATCTAAGTTGACTACTGGTTACCTGGTGAGTAAGAATAGAAATTGCACCCCCGGGTAATGGGGGAAGGAGGCTACACTGCATGCCAGTAATTAGGCTTACTGCATTCGGCCTAAAACTCAAAATGTCAAATAACTGAAATGAATATAGCTCCTACTCTATAATGATTTGTCCAGTTTGAATTTCTTTTTTACTTGACTGGACTGTTACATGTGATGAAAGGGTTGGAGTGGTCAACCAGAGGAATGAGAACTTGCTTAACACTCTTTCTGGATAATCAGCACCTGAACAAAACCACAATGCAAGGAACTACACAAAAACATTTTAAAACATCCTGCCTTCTTGATGTGTCTCAAAAGCCAGGTAAGTCTCAGAGAAGAAGAATCAACCTTAGATTACAGAAAGTCTCTGTACATATCAATGGGACAAACCTGTGTGTCCGTATATCTATAACCCCCACGTTAAAAAATTCTGAAGTGAAAATGAAGTAAGTATAGGTTGTTTATAATCAAGATATAGGAAGCTACATTAGAGAATGACAATCGCTGATGCATTGGTGTATACACCTCACACCTAGTTTGCGGGCTGCTGGGGGCAGTGGGGCGCGTGCATGTGTGCGCATGCGTGTAGGAGGCGGGGACGTCAAAAGGGAAGTAGAACAGAGAAAGAACTAATACAAAAACCTTCAGTCCACAAAGGCATAAATCATATGTAGGAAACAGGCCATCACGGGGAACTTTTCAGGGGGAAATAAAAAAACTTAAACCAGGACAACAGATTTAAAGGCAATGACCCTCATTCCCCCTCCCCGTCAGCCCCAACTTCCTCTGTCCAGAGCCACGTGGTGAGAAATAACATATTCCAGGTATTTATTTAATTGCTTTCACATGTTCCATCTATTTTTGAGAAACAGAAGCTCTTTAGAACTCTGCACTAATATTTATTTTTATCTTTCTAAAAAAAAAATAAAGATTTTGGAGGTGTTTGCCTCTAACAAATGACAAATCATGGGAGCCAATAAGTTTCTTTTCATTAATGTATTTTGAACACCGGACAAGATAGGTGCAGCACAATTTATATAAAGAAAAACGTAAAATAAAACTAAATATATTTCTTTTTTAAATGTAAGATCCCTTAAGTAGCCTAGAAGTTACTAGAGTGGAACAGTATATTCCAAGATGTTTTTTATTGATAGAGAGGTGTTGACTTCTCACTTCCTCCTGCATCCAGAGGAAAAGAGTTGTGAAATATTTGCCTTTATAAAAATTCTCTCCAGCTGTTTTAACATAAAGACTCTGTAAAGGCATTGCATTTCTTTTAAACTTAACTTCCTTTTAAGCTTAAATCCTCCACTTCGCATCTCTCCTTTTAAACAGGAAAACATATGCCACTTCCCAAATGCTGGAAATGACATGTTGAGTCTTTTCATTCAGAAAATACACCCCCAAATATGGGGGTGTGAGAATTTACAATTTCCTGCCTAGAATATAGTAGAAGATGAAGGAAATCTGCACTGTATATAAAATGAATGACTGATTCTAAGAAATAAATTCAGAACTACTATAAGACAGGTTCTAAATAAACTACAGTGAAAAAAATAACAGTAAATATTTACATACATTCAAACAAGAGATGGGCTCTGCTCCCCTCGCCGCCCCCCACCCCACGGAGTAAAATAAACTTTAATTTGATCATCTTCTAAATGAGGTGAAAACAATTATCTGCATAAAAACCCCCACCTTTAAACCTTTGATTTAGAAAAAGGCAACAATTTATCCCACCAAAGGATGTGAAAAACTGGCTTTACAGTATTGTAAATAGAAACATTTGATTTCCAGCCTCTCTCCTGCAGATTTTTCCACCAGAAAGCCCATATGGCTCAACTTTTAATTACTTTGGCTAATGCTATATGTAGTGATTCTGTGGTGAATGCTTAAGTGTTTCATTTCTGGTTTCCACAGCAACATTACATCAGATTGCAGACAGCTGGCTGCACATTTTAAACCATAACAAAGTGGCCAAGCCAAGGCACAACACTGTAGCTGCTTTAAAGAGATAGTACGCTGCCTCCTGCCAGGGTGCGGAATGAGGAACCTAGGGGGCCTTCTGGCTCGTGAAGGAGGGTGGAGCCTCCTTCCTCCTCAGCTTCTTTTGGAACGTGTGCATCCTTGACACATCTGCAATGTTCTAATAGGAAAGACATGGAGCCAGCGTGGAGAACTTTTTATAACACAGCTACATGAAGGATGATCGGAAAAAAGAAACGCGATTAATAGCATCTGTTGATACAAACATTTGTGTGCTGGCGCGAACTCAAAGCTTCCCCGCACTGTTCAACTTAAGCCTGCCACTGCAGGTCGGCAACATATACTTCCCCGGACCCTGTAACAATTCTTACAACTCTGACTGGATAAATGCTTCCCAAAAGCTGCATGGCACAGTGGTGCAGGCAAGGGAGTAACGGGCAGTCAGTGATAAAGGTTAAACCGAACTTGCAAGGAGCAACTAGAACTCTTTGGGGGCTGCTTGAGACCACGCTGAGCACGGGGTTACAACGGAGCCTTTTCAAGAAACCCACTCAGCTTGCTTCTCTAGCTCCAAACACCCCTCACGCAGCCTCATTTAACAGCCACACTGAGTCGACTTACCTCCCCAGAGCCAGCACATACCACTATAACATATGTAAGCATTTCTGAAAAGTATTCTGCATTTGGGAATGTAATTCACTTGTGAAATTCACACCACTGTTACTGGTTAACCCAGCAAGTAAGCAGACGTAGGCGCTTCACCTTCCTAGGTCCTCTTTACCAATGGCATTAACCTTAAAGTTAAGGGAAGGAAGCCGATCGGCTGCAGCTCTATGGAAAGCGGTGTGCCATGCTGTCTGAGGTCAAGTCCTCCACAATTGGCAACTGAGCTGCACACTCAACCCCTCGCATGCTCCCTGCATTCTCAAAATAATATTCACTTTTCTCCAAAAGAGAAGCCTTATTATTAGGTGAACAGGCTAGAAAAGAATGCTCAGAATTACAAGGTAGGGAATTAAACAAGGGAAGAGCAAATCCAGAGGAATCCAAATA